AGATATTTTTTTCAAACTGAAGTATTGTACAAACCTTTCTAGAAAGAGTCTCTGGCTAATCGTAAAGGCTTACACTATAATACATGATCACATATTGCCCAAGTCGCTCAAAAAAAAGAAAAAAAGATTGTCACTAAATACAAAAATTTACCTCATCCTCCTTACTCTCCCGGTCATGCTCCATCTGACTATCATCTTTTTAGACCATCGCAACATTTTCAGAAGAAAAAGAGTTTAATAAATGTGTTATGGGACCTTACCCATAATCACATAATGGACTATTCCATACGTAATAAATACTGCACCTCAAGAGGAAGCAGGGAGTTCAGTCCGAAGTCGGGCGACCGGCGGACCGGCTGATCGGTTAAACTCTTTGCCTTCGGACGGGGAGGAACCCGAACGAGGCTGCGCCAAAGGGCGGAGTCTCTTTCGGGGAGGTAAACCGACCCTGAACCCGTTTATGCCGGTTCAAAGGGCATATTTTTGGCCGAGCCCACGGGCTTGGAGATCCCACGTTAAACCGGCCTTGTGCCACATGATACCCTCGTGGGAAGGGGGGGTGACTAAATACTGTTCAGTCTGAAGTCTGGAGTGAAGTCCGTCAGGAGTCTGTCAGTCAGTCAGAGCAAGCGAGTCAGTCAGTCGAGTCAGAGGCAGTCCGAAAAAGAGTCGCGTTCAGACAATTACTACTAAACCTGATTGTTCGTATTAACACTTTCTACTTCTCTCTCTATATTCCTGTTTGTAATATATCTGTGTTATTCCATATACGTGTTCGAGTTCTTCTTTATTGGTTCTACCTTGGACTATCACCGTGGTACAAGGAACCGGACCATAACAAAATGTGAAGAGGTTAAAACTAAAATTCAGTGTTTCATCGCATCAAAACCTGAAGATTTTTATGTCCAAGGAATCAACAATTAACCAAATAGAAGGATAATTAGTGTTACCATGATTAAATATATCAATTAAGGCTAAAGAAACATTTATTTCTTTTCCATCTTCAGATATAACACGGTATATTCTTTCCGGAAATAAATTTTGACGTGCTGTTAAAGGTAAACAACATAACCTGATTGAATACAGGCCGAATTGCTTTTTGCTTTCATTGACTTTGCCTTTCCTACAAATTACAAATGCAGTTCGCCTACTCTGCTTGTTCGTTTCAAAACGAGTTCAACTTGCTTTGCTACTTTTGTTTCGTGCCTTTGTTATGATTCTCAAGACACACCTAAAATCCTAAAGCCATTGTCAAGTTTTTCTTGATTTTTCCGGTCTACGATCTATTTTAGGAAGACAGTAAACTTAAATAAACAACATTGTAGAAAGTACACACACTCACAGATATCTATCTATCTATCTATATATATATATATATATATATATATATATTTAAGTTATGAAAAACTTGGTAATCCGTATGGGTAGATGATCCGTATGGGTAGATGATCCGGCGTCCTTTAAAAACAATACTTAATACTTCTCGTTTTCACTCTCGCGTAGTCTTGTGTGATATCAGGAGCTGTGATACGATTTTCGCTTCCGCGTCTCGTATACACGAGTTTGTCGTTGCTTTGAAATTTTTCATGCAACAAAAGCAAACTATCATTATTGTTTTGTCCGTGTATTGTTTAATATATTGAAATGTAATTGTCATCTTTGATAATGGCTTATGTTAGCCGAAAGCTTAGATAGGATTAAAACATGTATCAATATGGTGATTTCCTTTCGTCTCTCAATGATAATATTATTAAACTTATCAGACAATATGAAAGAAATTTACTTAAAATAAATAGACAAGACAAAACTTGTCTATATTATTTAATGAAACATGCATCAATGAAAGATTTCTGCCTAAATACACACACACAATATATATATATATATATATATATATATATATATATATATATATATATATATATATCCACAGACACACAAGTAAGAGAAAGAACAAACAGAGTAAAAATCTATAGGTCGTACCATTTACATTTGTAAAAAAAGTGATCAGTAAAAAGTAGAGGAAAATATTATTATAATGTTTTTATTATAATAGATTATAATAAAAACATTTTATATCGCTACACAAAAACTTTCATATTTCAATATTATGATTATACTTCATCAAGCGATGGTAGATAACTTTGGATAAAAATTGATTTATTAGGAAAATTTAAAAACAAATTGTTAACTCTTTAATGGGATAGGGGCTTAAGGTCAGAATTAAAAATATACTTATGGGTATGTCTAGATTAACCAATTAAAAGTCATATATATGTCAAAATAGAAAGATAAGGTGAGAGGGTGGAGGTGGATGGGTTATTTTTTCATGTCAGAATAAACTGACGCTTGGACAAGTCATCCAAAGATCGTAGGAAACATGTCAGCGACAATTGTATTATGATGTAGTCAAGTGTGATGTTCTGATTTGTTGGATTTTATTAAGTTTCCTTATATATATATTTATATATATATATAAAAATAAAAGTGAACATAGAAGTCAACACTTACCGGCGACAGTCTGTTTATTTGTTTATTTATCTCGTCAGGGTTAAATTATTTTCTCGTTTTATAAATAAACAAATAAACGACTGCGATAAAAAATATTTTACCGGAAGTCGTTTATTTGTTTAATCTATGAGGTTAAATTATTTTGCTTGTTTTTATAAATGCACAAATAAACGACTTCCGATAAAAATAACCGAAAAATAGACTACCCAAATGCACTGCCCTGCATATATATAAAATAGACGATTGCATATAGGACGATTGCAATAGATGAAACAGACTGTCGCCTCTAAGTGTTGACTTTTATGTTCACTTTTATATTTTATATTTACATACGCTCTATCTCTGATATTGAGCACTTCATCCTATAAATATAGCACATCTTATGACTATATTTCTTCATATATATATATATATATATATATATATATATTCGTGTGCGTTTATTTTCTAATGTAAAGATGTGAGTGTGTGTGTATTTTTTGTCATTTCGTCAAAAAGATACAAATGTATGTTACACCGCTTGACGACTTATTTCTTTCTTTTCTTTTCTTTTTTTTCATCTGATTTATTTATTTATTCCCCCCCCCACACACACACACAAAATGCTTGGCAGGTCGTTATGTGAAATTAGGTCTCTGTCTGTCAGGTGGGCACGGGACCATCTGTTTCCCAAGTTACCACTGAACAGACAGGCTAAATTCTTTTATGATCATGATAAAACTGGTTTCTTTGTTTTGTTTGTTTTTTTGTTTTTTTTTTTTTCTTCTTCTTCATTCTATTATTACCTTTGTTTTAATCGACAGATAATCGGCCTCATAAAGACAAACCAATTCTGTGCCAACTGGGTCAAAGCGTCGTCCCGCTTCAGCTTGGAGCAACAACAAAAAAATGTCTTACCTGAAAAAGAAAATAAATAAAATCAGTCGCCTTCGTCGACAATCGTTAATTTAAGGATTTGTCTGAAACTTAAATTTGAACATATTAAAATCTCTTTTTTTCCATCTTAAAGAATATTGTATATTTGGGCAACAATCCATTTTTATACATGTTTTACTGAATATGACGAACAAACAGTATTTTGTACATTTTTATTCAGTTTCTATTCCGTCGTTGTAATTTTTCTTTTTCTCAAGGCTAAGTGTGTCTTTGTTTAGCTTTTGGAAGGCCACTCGATTGGATTTAAATCAGGAGAGTTTCCGGGCCAGTTGATTTGCTAACTTGTAAGACTTACCAGTGTGTTCCTGCGGCGTTACAATTTTCGTACGCTTCCTTAGAGTAACGTCAATCGCAGACAATGGCCGTAGGATAACTAATCGACTATCGAGACAATAGTGACAATATAAAAATAAAACAAATTTAATCATAAAATAGATTCATATTACTGCACACCACTGAAAATAACCTAATCTGAGAAAAAATAGAATTCGATTGCACCCTGTCACTCCAGTGGGTCTAAAACTAACCGTATGGTGAAAGAAAGGAAAGTAAAACGGTTGTTTCAATTCATTTGCACAAGGGTGTAGCTAGCATTTTTCTGTAAGGAAACTATCACGCGCGTTCGCAAAGAAAAGAAAAAAAAGCAATTACTTGAAGACATGACAGCGTTCAGGTAACACGGGCTCAAGACCTTAAGGAGACTTTACTAACTTCAATATGTAATTAGATACAATTCCAGCTTCGATAATTACATTAGAATGGCGAAGTAGAAATTGAATACAGTACTATCATAACTGTGAGTACATTCAACTTGTATAGCTGTGTATATATTGTTTACATTATTTACATTATTCGGACTATTGTCCTCATCTTTGTCGTCATATTTATTACAACGTTTCGGCCCTTCAGTATCTGTCTATATTTCTAAGATGAGGTATTATGTACACTATTTACATTATTCGGACTATTGCCCTCATCTTTGTCGCCATATTTATTACAACGTTTCGGCCTTTCAGTATCTGTCTATATTTCTGAGATGAGGTATTATGTACACTATTTACATTATTCGGACTATTGTCCTCATCTTTGTCGCCATATTTATTACAACGTTTCAGCCGTTCAGTATCTGTCTATATTTCTGAGATGAGGTATTATGTACATTTTTTCCCACAGTAGGTTGCCATTTGTTTCTGTGGTAGACCAGTTGCCATCCAAGGCTATAGAACCCAATCTGCCCTGCTATTTACCCATAGCTGGAAGGAGAAGAAGAGGATTCACTCCTTTCCCAAGGGTATTAGCACGTAAGTGAATGTAATGGATTCGACTGAAATTCGAACACGGCTCTCTTCAATCCGAGCCGCTATCCATTACTCCACCGTGCCTGAGAGTATAGGCTTACTATATGTATAATGATAGGTATAAGGAAGGCTTTGAAACTCAATAAGAAAGGCATTGTCAGTGGTCAGGAATTACAGACAGAATAGGACTATTTTATAAAAGAATTTTTTTTTTTATGAAGATTATTTTATTTCATTTGAACTTGTATTAAATTTTTAACTAGTTTTAAATTGTTCGCAATAGGGAGAAATAGACAAAGATGGTTGGAGATAGATAGATAGATAGATAGATAGATAGATAGATAGATAGATAGATAGATAGATGGTTCGAAAAAAAGACAGAAAGATAGAAACATATGAACAGAAGGGCATAGATAGATAGATAATGAACAAAATGAGAGAAAAAGCAAAAAAGATATTAACAGAATGAGATAAATCAATCGATAGATAGACAGATAGATAATGAATAGACTTCGATAGATAGATAGATAGATAGATAGAAAAGAAAGAAAGATATAAACAGAAGGAGATAGATAGATAGATAGATAGATAGATAGATAGATAGATAGATAGATAGATGTAAACAGTAGATAGATAGCTAGATAATGAACAAAATGAGAAAAAGCAAAAAAGATATTAACAGAATGAGATAAATCAATAATATTGAATAGACCTAGATAGATAGATAGATAGATAGATAGATAGATAGATAGATATGAACAGAATGAGATAGATAGATAGATAGATAGATAGATAGATAGAAAAGAAAGATATAAACAGAAGGAGATAGATAGATAGATAGATAGATAGATAGATAGATAGATAGATAGATAGATAAAAAAAAAGAACAGAATGAGATAGATAGATAGATAGATAGATAGATAGATAGATAGATAGATAGATAGAAAAGAAAGATATAAACAGAAGGAGATAGATAGATAGATAGAGAGATAGATAGATAGATAGATAGATTGATAGATAGATAGATACGAACAGCCTGAGAAAGAAAGAGAGATCAAACAACATAAAACCGTTAAAGTGTTCCTTCCGCTGCGTGACCTTTGACTTTCCCCAAACAGCCATCAAGTCGATTATAAGAACGTTCCTTTTTTTTTTTTTTTTTTACAAACAGCTTCAGACTAAAACCTAAATATATCATCTGTCCACTAAACTCAACGCTTCCACCGTTCCCAATCTAAGCACCTTCAAACACTAAATATTAATGACGGCGTTCTCTCAACTGTGGTCAAGTCTGAGTTAAGGTAATTTCCTCCCCTATGCGTTTCATCGACGCCTATCCGGTTATTAAAAAATGTTAGTTTCGATTCCAACAATAATAAAAGAGTCCTCCCCTCTGTCTCGAACAGTGATTCCGAATATGAGGCTGACGTGTCAGAGGGCGGAGCTGCAATTTGAAACTCTGCTGGAGGGTAATTTGGAATTTTGGTGAAAAGAGAGAAAAGAATTGTTGTACCCCAGAAGCGAATGTGTGAAAAGCTCCCTTGATGGTCGAATAATCGTAATCTATTGCATTCACTTACACTTGGGAAAGGTATGAATCCTCTTCTTCTTCCTCCAGCTATGGATAAATAGCTAGACAGATCGGGTTCTATAGCCTTAGACGGCAACTGGTCTACCGCAGGAAGAAATGGCAACCTATTGCGAAAAAAAATAATTTGAATCGACAGTCATGTATCGAAAGATACATGATCGCATGATCGCCTAAGCGTGTATCACGCATGGCACATCACTGACTGATTGACTCTTGGGCAAGGTAAGAATCTTCGTCTTCTCTCCCCAGCTATGAATAAATACAGGACAGACCGGGTTCGATAATCTTTGATGGCAACTGGTCTACCACAAAGAAAACAACAACCTGCTAAGGGAAAAAATCTGACTCGTCAGTCATGTATCGAAAGATACATGATCGCCTAAGAGTGTATCACGCATGGCACATAGCTGACTTAAATTCACTTACGTGCTAATACCCTTGGGAAAGTTAGGAATCCTCTTCTTCCCCATCACTAGCTATGAGTAAATAGCAGGACAGATCGGGTTCTATAGCCTTGGACAGCAACTGGTCTACCGCAGAAAGAAATGGCAACAATAAATCTGCCTCGCCAGTCATGTATCAGGCATTGTACATAACTGACTGACTGATGAATTCAGAAAAAGTAAAACCTTCATATGAATTCAAATGTTGTGAGCATGATTCGTAACATTCTTGTTTTTACAAGCACTAACCAATACCGTCTTTTTTAGTATTCTTGTAAAATACATTTTATTTCGAATTATCGTTTTCGTTTTTATTAAATGTGCAATCCGAGACACAATTTAATCTAGCAACCGGGGCAGTGTTTCAACAGAAGACGGAAAATATGGCACCGAATTCCGAAGATGCATTGAAACAGCGAAAGATGTCTTACAAAATCTAAGCAAACTATTAAAAAACAAGAAAAGTTCGTTAGAAACAAAGAAAAGAGTACTGAACAGCTATGTAATATCAATATGGTAGTGAAGGATGGATAATTTCATTACAAAGAGTACGCATGCGGCAAAACAGGTACATGGATCTACAGAAGGATGCTGAGAATGTCACTCCACTATCGATCCAAAGAAGACGTCAATTTACAGATAACAAAGAAACAGAATCTGAAGATCCTTGAACATCTACGTCGTGAAGAAATTTGACATTAAAAAATGCTGAGTCGATTGAAGAAGGATCTTCTTTCATATGGTGAGTCTCTTTGAGACGTTGGTAGTCATGGGCCTCTACATCTTCCTATCCCTTGTAGCTCTTAATAAGTTTTGTCTATTTGTTATTTCTCCCGAACTCTATTCTGCTCAAACCCATTAAGTATGCCACGCATTGCTTTCTCTTCTTCCGCTTTTCCTGTATCCGCCTTACGAGTGTCAGATTTTCCAAGCCCTCCTTCCTCATTACATGCCTCAGAAATTTCAATTGGTTCTTCCTTGATGTTAACAGGGTCGATTTTACTGTCTTAAAACTACGTCATTTGTTTACATTTGGATACGCATCGAGCAGATATGAATGTACGAGAGAATATCATGGAGAATTGTAGTTTAAAAACAGTAAAATCGACCTTGCTAACCGAACGCTCCCCTGTGGCCCAATTGGTAAAAGCACGTCAGGCTATATGACAGTTCCGTATAGGACACAGGTTCGATTCCTGTCGGGGTAGGCATATTTTCTATGAAAATTTCTCGGACATTCAGGCTGGTAAATGTTGTTTAATACTGTTTATTATAAATATAACATTTACTTAAATATTTGTATCTATAAAAAGAACGTATAAACATAAAAAATGTCTTAAAATAATTGTCGGACTTTGTCTATTTCATTATATATATATATATATATATATATATATATAATGAGTATGGAAAGGTTTTCATTTCGAACTTCTCAAAATATAACCAAATGAATAAAAATTCGTTTCAAGGAGAAAAGAAATCCCTAATCTTGATCGGAATGAGAACTTTTATTATTTATTCGTACGCGCACGCGTGTGTGTGTACGTTGTGCGTGTATGTGTGTGTTTTTGTATACGTTTTGTGTGTGTGTACGCACTGTCATCCAATATAACGGTACTTGAAAAATCTCGGACGGTCTCATAGCATCTTCAAAATCCCGAGTGTTCTCACGGTACTTGCTAAATCTCGTCCGACATTCTCGCAATGAAACAACTTTCTTGTTGTCTCAAATGCAAATTAGACATAAACAAAACTGCGTTTCTTTTAGCAATCACCCACGCACAAAAGCTAACGAAAATCCTGTTGTAGTTTGTTACTAAAACCTAATGCCATTTAAATTACGTCAAAAATGGCCGACAGTTACGTGATATTAAATGACAGACGCAGAAAGCCATCGAAGCTGTTTAATCTTCTTGGGAACATTTCCATTCGCATCAAATCTGAGTCCATGTTGTTGCATTCAAATTCCCATTTACGGCTATTTTCTCTTGAGAAGCGCGGGCAGATTCACGCTCGTTGCAAAATCTCGCGCCATTTTTACGGTCTGGCCGAAATAACGTATGATCACACGGTATTTGCCAACTCAAGAGTGGTAATTATGTGGAAAACATCAACGGCTTCATTCACACTATCTTTCGCTCAAATAAAAGTTATTTTCTCATTGAAACTACAACAATGAAGTGACAGGCACTAAATTCATGCCAGTTATTTTGGGGAAAACGTTTAATTTTAAGTCGAATTTTTTATTTGTTTTTTAATATAGTAAGAAACTGGGGTACATTGAAGTGCCCGAGCGATGGCTAACACCTCTAACTGATATATGTTGACAATTGGACTCATTTAAAGCTTAGAAGGGCATAAAAAGAATCAAGATCGACGTATAAACACGTCTGTATCTGGTTTTTAAAAGTTATGTCTTAGACGTGTTTATTCGTCTGTGCGTGAAAAGACTGTTTCGGTAAAAACGTATATTCGCGTCTACGTCGGGGAAAGCGTTAATGCTAGCAAATGTTGTTTAGGCTTTTGTGAAACAAGTTATAACTAATATTATAGCTGATGTGTGAATAATGACGAAGTAAATTAATTAATAAAAACCTTCAATTAATAGATATTTCATGGAATAACTGATTAAAAGCACAATTAAAATATAATCTCTTCTGGAATATTTTAACAAAAGATTTTCTTTGAAAATAACTGTATTTAGATGAAGGACAAAGTGTATCTAAATATTACATTTTATCTCTTAAATTATCGGATTCATGAAGTCGCTGAATTCAGTGATATCATTATAATATATATTACATCTGTCTATATCTCTGTGATGAGGTATTAAGATTACTTGCATTATTTACATTATTCGGGCTGTTATCCTCATCTTCATTGCCATATTCACAACGTTTCAGCCGTTGTAGTTTATCGTCATACCCAGGGCTATAAAACAAATCAGGATCATATAAAGAAAGGACACTGGTTTGTAGAGTTGAAGAACAAATGAAAATTATAGAAGAGTTTCCGCACAACTCATTGTATTCACTTACATGCTAATACTCTTGGGAAAAGTATGAATCCTCTTCTTCTCAAGCTATGAGTAAATGTGCAGGACAGACCAGGTTCTATAGCCTTGGATGGCAACTGGTCTGCCGCAGAAAGAAATGGCAACTTACTGCGGGAGAAAAAATCAGTCTCGTCATTCATGTATCGAAAGATACATGATCGCCTAAGCGTGTATCACGCATGGCAGATTACTGACTGACTTCCACACTACTGTAAACAAAAGGTTACGAAGGAAACAAACATTAATACTAGAAAGATTGATAACAGGAGATTGGAGGCATGCGACTATATCACATTGATTCTCGTACGATCACTGAAGTTAAGCAACGAAGACCCTGGCTAGTATCGAAATAGGTGTCTGCTTGTGAATACCAGGTGCTGTAAGCTGAGATGTGCTTGTGTTGTGATGGATAACGATAAAGGAAAATTGGAGAGCCGTGTTCCAATTTCAGTCAGGTTCGTTATACTTACGTACACGCTAATATCCTTGGGACAGACACGAATTCACTTTTTCTCTCGCCTCAACTATGGGTTAAATAGTAGGGCCTTTATCAGTAAATCATTATTATATCCTTAAAATTCTTACAACCTAGAAATGTTTTCTGGCTTTAAATAACCTGTAAAACGTTGATAAGCCGTAAAAACATATCAATTACAATGAATTTGAAAAGCATATTTTTTGTTTGATTGATTTGTTTTTCTTAACGGCACATCAACTCCTTATGAGTCATTTAATGCCGAAATTTAATTTTCTTGTGTGCTTTGAAATAATAAAAATATAGTATATGTTATTCTATTTTCACAGTTGAATACATGGTAGATGATACTCAGCTTCTGTGCAAACGGATATTTGTGTGGATATGATTACTGGAAGCGGTGATATGGGTTTTATGTTGTAGATTTTTTAAGTTGTATTTTGGATGAGAGTTTGATTTCTTTAAGAAATTGTAGGATATCATATGGATTAATGCCATGAAAGATTTCTTTCATGTTGGCTGTTTGGTTGGCTGATTTGTTTTACGGCATATCAACCT